TCCCTGTGCTCCCCCACCAGATACTGCTGAACTGTGGCAGGCTCCTTAGGTGGCTCTGCTCCGTGGACGGCAGTGATGAGTCCCGGTATCTGGAGCCCACTCTGTGTGTAGCGGGGAAGATTTGTGTCCTCAGGATAAGCGGCTTTGTCTCCCGCTTCTGGATCAGGTAAGAAGTTGGGCCCTATGCGTTCGGAAACGTTGGTGTCGACCGGCTGGGGTGTAACGTAACCATTGTTGGCGAAATCGTAGCAAACTTCGGCGTTGACACTTTTGCGAGGGTTGTCGTCGTCCATTGGGATGTCTACTGAGCAGTACAGAAGAGGTCTGGCTTCCTCCGAAGCTCCATCCACGTTCTGCTCATCCCAATCGGCTTCATCTGCTGTCGAAGTGAAGGCTCGGTCCCCACAAAATCTGCCTGTGACATCTCGTGAAATTTCCAAGTTGTACAGGTACGTCGGAAGTGTGAGACGTTCGTAGAAGATCACGTCACGTGCTGCCACTGTTTCCTTTGTGTGGACGTCGAAGATCTTCCATGCGTTGTAGTGTTTTTCAATGCCCAGGTGTAGTCCATATTGTGCGCGTTGAGAGAATCGTCGGGCGCGTGCAGCTGGGGGTCGGTACTGTACCATGCAGCCGAACACTCGTAACATTTTTGTGTTGCCCAATTTTCCTGTCCACAGCAGATGAGGTGATGTGTTGTTCGGGAGCGATGATGACGAAAGCAAGTTGTGCAACATTACAGCGTGGTCCATCGCCTCGGGCTACTGGTGTTTGGGTAGCCGCATGCCACGTAGCAGCTTGCACATGGTGTTCTGGAGGGTCCTGTTCATTCTTTCTGCCACGCCTTATTGTTGATGAGCGTAGGGAAGGGAGATGAGTCGCTTGATGGCTCTCTCTGCCAAGTACTGTTTGAACCTCTGTGACTGATATTCTCCTCCCCCGTCTGACTGGAACCTTTTCAGCTTCACTCCTGATTCTCGTTCTGCTACTGGAAGCCAGGCGACGAAGGCTTCGAAGCCCATGTCGCGGCTCGGAAGGTTGAGGTGCCAGACATATCGTGTGGCGGCGTCGATGAACGTGATGACGTAGTTGTAGGCTCCTTGTCCGGGTTCATGATTGTACAGTATGTCGATGTACACTTTCTCCAGGGGTGCGTATGCTGGTGCGCTCGGGTTGTGGTGAGAGACGAACGGCTGATGCGGTAAGTCGGCTTCGGGGCAGGTAAAACACGTTGAAGTTCTCTGCCGTTGGGTAGGATTAGCGAGTCTTTATCAAGTACTCCTGCTCTTATCGTGTTGTTCAGCGCTGTGTTGCTAGGATGTCCTAACCTTTGATGCCATAGCGATTCGTCGGCGCGATGTCCAGGTGGACGCCTGTACAAATCGGAGTTGGAGTAGAAGCTTGCGGTATGTTGGCGCTTCGGTGAACGTCGCGTGGAACGGGGATTAGCTGTTGCGCAGGAGTTGGTGGAGTGTCGATTAAGATTGGTGCTGTTGACGGACCCGCGATTGGTGTCGTAGTTGGTGTTGTCTCTGCTGCTGCCGATGTTGTCTCTGCTGCTGCTAGTGTTGTGTCTGTTGTTGCCGTTGTTGTCTCTGCTGCTGCCAATGTTGTCTCTGCTGCTGCCGTTGTTGTCTCTGCTGCTGTCGGTGTTGTCTCTGCTGCTGCCGTTGTTGTCTCTGCTGCTACCAGTGTTGTCTGGATTATTGCTAATGCTCTCGTCCGTTCTGGTTCAGGTATGGTGTTCGAGTACCAGAAGCCGCCGGGACTGAAGTCGGGGTCGAGATCCGGTGGGTGTGTCCAAGAAGTGAAGTTGATGATGTCGTCGCTATCGGCGGTGCCTTGATCTGGAACAAAGTCGATGATGAAGACATTATTATTCAGTATGGCCTTTCCAATGTACAATCCGCCTCTCCCGTTGTACAGCTTGAACTCCTGGGTGGTGATGTCTGCTTCAAGATGGATTCCCTTCGCCATGAGTTGACTGACGCTCAGTAAGTTGTAGTCGAGTCCTGCAATCAGGACTTTCGACATTTGCAAGATAACGTTGGTTTCTCGCGACTGAAGTTGAACTACTCCGTGTCGTCGTGTGCGCAGGTTCTGATTGTTGGCGACGGTGATGACGACTTCGCGCTGCAGTTGGTGTTCTCGTTGAACGAAGCGACTCAAGGAGCACATGTGCTGTCCGCATCAACTGTCCAAGAACCAGGTGTCATTCCCGGACGGTTCGCTCTGGGCGATGGCTGCGTACGTCGGGTTGGGCTCCAGTGATTCGCGGCGAGAGGTGCTTTCGTCGAGCTGTTCTTCTGGTGAGTAGTATGGTGGCGATCCGGTGATGCAGGAATCAATTGTTCTTGCCATGCAGCTCACGATTTTTCTTGTGCCTTGCGCAAATTTTGTCGTCGATGTCGACTGTACTTGATTGGTGGGATGCGCCTGTGTAGAAGCCACTTGACTTCTAGAGGGTCGAAGTTGATGCTGCGATGGTGTTGATTGTTGCTGATTCGGGCAGTGAGTGCAGGGGTGTCCGGACGTCTTGCAGAGATGGCAGAATGGCGGTACGTACTATTGAGCTTGGTGTTTGTTCTGTCGATTGTTGTTGTTGTTGTAACGCCGTTGAGTGTGAAACGCGAACTCAGGTGCTGACGCCCTTTTCTTGTGTCGTTCTTCGTGTAGGTTCATATCCTGCTGTTCAGCGTGAATTTCAGCACAGAGTGCCGCTTCGGAGATCTTCCCGTGAGCTCGGAGGATAGCTCGAGTGGAGCGCCAATGAGGACCGAGACCAGTGATAATGACTGCCACGAAGGCTTCTTCGGATATCGATCCTCCGCATCGAAGGAGTCTGTCGCGCAGTCTGCGACAATGGCTGATATACGCCATCCCTTTTCCGCCGTGTTTCATTTCGACTGTTGTCAGCTGTGCCATGAGACGACTCTGTTTGACGCTGTCTGTTGCTTGATACAGGTTCTTCAAGTGGTTGTACGCGAGCTCGGCGGAGTTGCCGTATCCACGATAAGACCGAATGTTCTGCTGCTCGTTCGGCGTGATGTTGCGTAGGAGAATCGTATACTCCATCCGCGACTGATACGTATACTGTTGCTTGTCGTACTGCGCCCCGTGTGTTGGGTATGGCAGGGATCCGTCAAAGAATCCGAGAACCTGCGCGCCTTCCACCATCAACTCGAATTCGAAAGACCAGGTACAAAAGTCCTTTCCGTCAAAGGGTGTTGATGTCTAAAGCTTCAGAACGTGTGCGAACTGCGATTGAACCTGAAGCGTGTCTAGTGTCTTCTCTTGTCCAGGTGGAGGCTGTTGGTGCGGCACTAAGCTGTCCACGTTGAGGCTCGTACGGAGCAAAGGTAGGTTGCTGCTGGTTTCCGCGTGCGTAGGATGACCCGTCAAGACGCATTGGAGTAACGCCGTTGTTGTTGTCGTTGTTGTTTGACTGCGCAGGTGCTGCTTGCTGGTGCTGTTCGTAGAAGGACATGAAGGAGAAGAACTTCTCCATCATGTTTGGGTCGAAGCCGGTCGTTTGGTTTGCGGGAGTCTCAGTGGACTCAGCAGCTGGTCTTGTCGCCGTGCCTCCCTTTGTCTGTAGGCCAGAGGCTGGAGGTGGAGTAGGGGTAGTGCCAGGAGAGCCGTTAGAGGAGCTTCTCTCTTTCTGTGTTGCCATGTCTTCTGATGTCGTAGGAGTTCAAACGAAGTTGAATCTTGCCTTGTCAGCTCTCATACCATGTTGGGCTAAGAAAAGCCCTTAGGATCTTTCAAGGCTAAGACTCTGATAAGAATGTTGTATTGCGGAAGCGTTTAATGATAAGTTGTTGAACCACCTTGCGCTGGTAAGTGATGGCAAGATAGATTGATTATAAAGAAGTAATACAAGGAATATGAAAGGATGCAATAACCGTTTGCAGTTGCTGTTGCGGTTTGATACAGTGACGACTCGGGCAACTGCTCAATATCGAGTCAGTTGTTTGTCCTTGCTGCCGCGCTGTATTTGTCGAGTCAAAGGTCGCTGCTGACCTTTGACCTTCGCGTAACCTCCGGCTGTTACTTTTTTGTCAACCTCCTCGGTTGACTTGACTCGCTATTGCTTCGTTGTAGCTTGCCTTCATTTACGGTTCGATGTTACGACACATAGGAAGCGTTAAATTACTTGTTTCCAACAGTGTCAACCTCCTTGGTTGACTCGCCATTGCTTCGCTGTAACGTGCCTCGTTTGTGGTTCGATGTTCCGACACATCAGAAGCGTTAAATTAGAACCACTCGGGCCGTGCGTGGGTTGGGGATGTCGCGATTGGTGCAGGGCAACGCGGAATGTTGTTCGGGCCTAACTGTAGGCCGAACCCAAACTGACGGAAAGTGTGTGGGGCTGTCCTCGCTAGGAGCAGACCCAGTAATGAATTTCTATATTCATAGCAGTAATGGTTACCGCCCCATTACGGTTACCATTCACATATTTCCCGTGATTCCTTGCTGAGAGGTGCTTTGGGGGTTCCTTCCGTGTTGTGTTTGGGTGTGGCTCTTTTTCCCATCCCAAGCACCAGTCAGCCTGCCATTTCGCCTTCACCTTCCTTTCCTGGCAGATGCGTTACCACCAAATCTGCCTTCTCTAGACCCTTCTGTCGGTCGCTATTGCTGTGAAGTGTACTGGTCTAAGGGTAGCTTCGCAGGCGACTTCCTTCCGCAGCTGTATTAACTGCCGTTCGTCGCTCCCTCATTTCGCTTGAAGCGTTGTCGTTTGCGGGACCATTCTCGTCCCGAACCGCCTGCGTCTCGAGGCCATCTGGGCGAATCCGTCTCGTTTCCTGTTCATTCCTTCGCGATTCGAGAGCAGAGCGCGGGCTTGAGCGCGTGTCTACAAAATGCATGTCGAATTCGGAGTTAGCATATATGATTTCAAGCAACGAGTTTCAGTCGCTTCAAATTGCCCAAGCTCCCTTTTCGTACTCAACCATTCGAGTTTCTCGGTGTTCCCTATACAACCGACGTGAACAGCCATGGCATTGAAGAACATCCTCGTTATAGCCGTCCTCATAATGCTCCTCGTCGGCCTGGCGGTTGCCGACAACCAGGATCGCAAGCGGGACGGCACGGGCAACCAGGACCGCGACAGGAAGCGTGACGGCTCGTGCGCCAAATCCGGCACGTGCAGCGGCGGCAAGAATGGCGGCAACAAGAATGGCGGTAACCCCGGTGGTCGCGGCGGCAATGGCGCTGGGAGGGGGAATCAGGGGAAGAAAGGCACGGGGACGTGCAACAAGAGCGGCAGCGCGAGTTGCGACGGCAGCGGGCGGAAGAACACGGTGATGGCGAGCGCGAATGCGTTGGCGGCTGCTGACGTGGCGGCTGCTGACGTGGACGTGCAGGCATGTGACGGGGCGAAGCAGGCGGGGAAGCTGATGAGCGGATTGCGGAAGAGCGGATTCAACAAGTTCGCGGCGGCGCTGCAGCAGACAGGTGCGCTGCAGCAGACAGGTGCGCTGTGCGCCACTGCTGGCGCTGCCCCTGTCCTGTCGCTGTCCTGCCGCTATTGCCGTCCCTCTCCCTCTCCCTCTCCCTCTCCCTCTCCCTCTCCCTCTCCCTCTCCTCTCCCTCTCCTTCTTCCTTACCCCACCCTCCGCCTCTCCTTCTCCATCTCCCTATGTCATCAGCCATCCCACCTGTCATCTCACCGGTCATCTCACCTTTCCTCTCACCTGCCATCCCCATGTGCTCCTCCACGCCCCACCATGCCCCACGACAGGTCTGGCGGCGGAGTTCCCGGAGGTGATGTGTGCGGGCGGGGTGACGCTGCTGGCCATCCCCGACGCGCCCATGGGGCAGCTGCCCCCTTCAGTGCGAGGGGACAGGCTGATGCTCCGGGAGCAGCTGCTGTTGCACGTCGTCAAGGGCGCCCGCCCCTACGACCGCATGCAGGCTCGTGGCAAGAATTACAAGGTGAGAAGCAGTGTTGCTGCTGCTGCTGCACATGGAAATCACATTGCACCTCTGACTGTGGTTCTTTCTGTGCGTGCCTCTTTCCCCAGCATGTACTCCCTGTCACCACCCATCCCTCGCCCTCCCCCTCACCCTGATTCCTTGCCCTCATTATCTCCCCCACCCTTCACCCCTTGCCCCTCTCCTTCCCAAACCCCTCTCTCCTGCAGTTTGCGTGTGCGGCGGGGGCAGGGGGAGGGCGGCTGGTGAAGGCGAGCGAGGGCAGCGCGGCGCTGGTGCTGCGAGTGGGCAGGGGGTGGGGGCAGGCAGCAGCAGTGACGCGCCCCGATGCCTTCCGGTGCACGGGGGGGGCGGTGCAGGGAGTAAACTGTGCGCTGGGCTTGGGGCGCATGGGCAGGCCCGCCAGGCGCGTTCCTCTGGGGCAGTGCCTGCGCAACGGCAGGGATGAGGATGACTAAGTGCAGGGATTGAGGCTAGAGGAGCGAGAGCAGAGGGTTGAGGAGGAGCAGGCGGGGCAGGCGCGTGCCTCTGGGGCGTTGCCTGCGCAACGGGAGGGATGAGGATGATGACTAGGACGAGGGGGAAGTGGGAGTATGCAGGAGAACAGGGGCGTAGGCTGTTGGTAGAGGATGAGACAAGGCTGAAGCATGGTTGGGTGTTGTTTTTACTTGGGGAGGGATAAGCACACTGGTGCTGTGTATTTATTTGTGCAACGATAGTGTGCAATGAGGTAGTGACTGGCCAAAGGGAATTGAGAAAAGCGGGGTAGGCGCTGGAGAGTTGGCATTTCATGTTTCTACCAGGGTTTTGTTCGGGGATGTTCTTGCATGTGTTTTCTAGGGCATGGAACAGCAAGCAACGCCTTGTAAAGCTTGCTTTTCCACGCCCTCTGAAACGAGTGGAGGTAGTCGTGACGTGATAGATTTAGGGAATTTATTTTTGTATATCTTGTCAGAATCGTGAGCGAGATGTTGGAAACAAGTGATTTAACGCTTCTGTTGTGACAGAACATTGAACTGTAAAACGAATCGAGTTACCGTACAACGAAGCAACGGTGTGTCAACCGAGGAGGTTGACAAAACACAACAGCCGGAGGTTACGCGAAGGTCAAAGGTCAGCAACCTTTGACTCGCCAAAATACCGTATCACCCTGGATAAAAGCGCAGGTGCGCTTACCGTATAATAAAACAGTGTTTTTTTGGGGGTTGCGCTTGCACAGTAATAATTGAGTAATTTGTATAAGCGCATGGCTTATATTATGACATTTACAGAATTTCAACACCAAATTTTATATTTCACTCCTGCCATTTCAACCGAGTCGATTTTTTTTTTTTTTCCGTCACAAAGCAGAATCTCGTGCAAGCGATTCTCTTCCAGCACACAGGGGCCAAGATGCGACACTTTGCAGTCATGCCAGCACATCCTGACTGGACGCGCAGCCAGTCAGGTCTTCAAGAGTCAAACTAAGCGAAAATGAGTTTGTACTCGCTTCAAATTGAAACTCGCTAACGTTCTGAACAGAATTTTTGATTTAAAATTGTACATGCGTTTAAAATAAGTAATGTTTTCACAGGGGGGGGGGGGGGGGGGGGGGGGGGGGCGCTTATAATTGAGGATCGGCCATAAGCGCATTACTCCAGATGGAAGCGCATGCGCTTATCATAGGCATGCGCTTATTTCTGGGGTGATACGGTACAGCGCGACAGCAAGGACAAACAACTGACTCGGTATTGAGCAGTTGCCCGAGTCGTCACTGTATCGAACCGTAACAGCAACAGTAAAACAGTTAGTTGCACCTTTTCATATTCCTTGTAATCTTATAAAAGCTTGTATTCCTTTGATATAATCAATCTATCTTGCCCTCACATACCAGCGCAAGGTGGTTCAACAGTTTGTCATTAAACGCTTCCGCAATTACAACATCTCTACCCAAAGTCTTAGCCTTGAAAGATCCTAAGGGCTTTTCTCAGCCCAAAATGGTATGAGAGCCTCCAAGGCAAGATCAACTACTCAAACTCCTACAACAACACAAAGTATGGCAACACAGAAAGAGAGGAGTTCCTCCAACGGATTGTCAAATTATATGCATGTTATATGTGCGTAGGCTGTAGTGGGGTAGCCAATATGAGGTACAACCCCATTAGGGTTTCATATTTGTACCAAAACCCTAATCTAGTCAACCCATCCCTGCTACTACATTCTAACATGGTTTCAGAGCACTAGGTCCGTAGGACCGTCTTTTTTTCCGGGCCCACCTACCGTTGCGGTTACCGCGCTACCCCACGTGTTGTCTTGCGCGGGCCTTCGCCTGCCTTGCCTTGTGACGTGTTGCGCTGCGCGCGCCGTCCTGCAGCCCTCGCGCTGCCTACTGTTGCCCTAGCTACGCGCGCACCGCCCTGCAGACCCGTAAGGCCAGCGCGCCACCCCTGCAGGCCCGTAAGGCCAGCGCGCCGCCCCTGCAGGCCCGTAAGGCCCGCGCGCCGCCCCTGCAGGCCCGTAAGGCCCGCGCGCCGCCCCTGCAGGCCCGTCAGGCCAGGGCGCCGCCCCGCCCTGCAGCCGATGCGGCCCCGCCAGGCCGCTGTCGTGGCCCCGCCCTGCCGCTGACGCGGCCCCGCCCTGCCGCTGACGTGGCCCCGCCCTGCCGCGGTCGCGGCCCCGCCCTGCCGCCGACGCGGCCCCGCCGGGTCGCTGTCGTGGCCCCGCCCTGTCGCTGACGCGGCACCGCCCTGCCGCTGTCGCGGCCCCGCCCTGCCGCCGACGCGGCCCCGCCCTCCCACTGTCGCGGCCCCCCCCTGCCGCCGACGCGGCCCCGCCAGATAGCTGTCACGGCCCCGCCCTGCCGCTGACGCGGCCCCGCCCTGCCGCCGACGCGGCCCCGCCCTGCCGCCGACGCGGCCCCGCCCTGCCGCCGACGCGGCCCCGCCCTACCGCTGTCGCGGCCCCGCCCTGCCGCCGACGCGACCCCGCCTGGCCCCGCCCTGCCGCCGACACGGCCCCGCCCTGCAGCAGCTGCCGCGGCCCTGCCCTGCCGCTGTTGTGGCCCCACCCCTGCAGCTGACGCGGCCCTACTCTGCAGCCGCTGTTGCGGCCCCGCCGTCGCCGCCGTCGTGCGCCTACCCTGCCGCCGCCCGCCGAGCGCCGGCCCTGCTTGCCTGGCGAGCGATTTCCCTTCCCGCCACTGGTGAGCACCTGCCCTACTCGCGCTTCCCGCGCGACTGCATTGTTAGCGCGCTGCCGTGCCATCTGCCTGCCTGCCTGCCTGCCGCGCCTGCGCTGCCTGCGCTGCTACTGCTGCTACTGCTGCTACTGCTGCTACTTCTGTTACTGTTGCTAGGCTGCTGCTGCTGCTACTGCTGCTACTACTGCCACTACTGCTACTGGCGGTGGCCAGATGCAGCTCCAACGACGTCCGCTTGAGTCTCTCACGCCCTAGCAGCTTCGTGAGTGGTACACTAGTTGGGTTTGTGCCAGTAGCCGTCGTAGCTATCGCCCTGGAGCAAGTCAGTCGGGAGCGTCTGGCAGTGGCAAGCTGCAGCTGCAGCGGCGTCCGCGCGAGACACTTACGCCCCAGCAGCTTCGTGAGTGGTACACTCAGAGTAGAGGGTCTCGGAGTACCGTTCGCTGCCCGTACGTCATTCGCACAGGTGATCGGGCTGGTCAGGCTTGCGGGACGCTTGGTCACACACAGTCCCGCTGCTTAGCCCGTCTGAGCGACGCCTGGCGTACCGAGTTTGGTGACGAGGCTGAGCTCACCACCTGGCTGGAGCTGCTTAGGCAGAGGGTAGATATCTTTGCTCTTGACTATGATGCTATTCTCACTGCCATGTATGCATTGCCTACTAGTGCTGACGGTGCCTGTTACCTGTGCGTACCGCCTGACCCAGGTATAGAGCCTGCTGCTGTAGGTGCTGGTGAGGCTGCTGCTCCAGGTGCTGGTGAGTATGCTCTCTCTGGTACTGCGCCTGCTCATGCCCTGTACACCTTCACACTTGACTCAAGTGCTTCCCGCTCCTTCTTTCGCGACAGCACCACCCTCACGCCGCTCAATCGGCCAGTTGCAGTCTCCCTGGCAGACCCCTCTGGGGGTCCAGTCCTTGCGCACTCCTCCACGGTCCTGCCGTGTCCGGCGGTCCCGTCTGGCTCCCTGTCAGGTCTTCACCTCCCCTCGTTCTCTACGAACTTGGTGAGTGATGCTAACCTCCAGGACCAGTGGGTTGAGCAGTTCACTCCTGGAGGTCAGCGCGAGACCCACTGTACGTGCTCCCGAACGGGCCGACACCTGGCCACGTTTACCCGTGCGCCTAGCTCGAGTCTGTACACCAGTTCACTCCTGCACGTCAGCGAGTGACCCACTGTACAGAGGCTGGCACAGGCCGACACCTGGCTACGTTCACCCGTCAGCCGGGGTCGAGCCTGTACACTCTGACCACTGCGTCTCCTCCAGTTGCTGAGTCTGGTAGGGTAGTTACGTCGGGTCAGGTGTTTGCTGCGGCGTCCAGGTCTGGTCCTGAGTCTGCCCCCTGTTCGTGTCGTCTCCTGTCTCACGAGACTCTCCTCTGGCACCACCGCCTTGGCCACCCCTCTCTGCTTCGGCTCAGAGGTATGGCCTCCCGTCTTCTTGTGTCCGGTCTCCCCCGGTCCCTCCCTCCCCTTCCTCAGGGCCCTGGCCCTGCCTGTGTCCCCTGTGTCGAGGGGCGCCAGCGTGCTGCCCCTCACTCCTCCCAGTTTCCTTCGACAGAGGCCCCGTTGCAGACACTTCACATGGACGTGTGGGGCCCAGCCCGCGTCCGTGGACAGGGTCACGAGCGCTACTTCCTGCTCGTTGTTGACGACTACTCGCGTTACACCACAGTCTTCCCCTTGCGCAGCAAGGGTGATGTCACTGAGGTGCTGATCGACTGGATCCGCGCAGCTCGTCTCCAGCTCAGGCAGAGCTTCGGCTCGGACTTTCCTGTTCTGCGTCTGCACTCGGACAGAGGCGGAGAGTTCTCCTCTGGCCTCCTGCGTGCCTACTGTCGTGCACGGGGCATCCGTCAGACCTTCACGCTTCCGGACTCACCGCAGCAAAATGGGATTGCTGAGCGCCGCATTGGCATGGTCATGGACGTCGCTCGTACGTCTATGATGCATGCGGCTGCCCCCCATTTTCTGTGGCCGTTTGCGGTGAGGTACGCGGCGCATCAGATCAACCTCCACCCCAGGGTCTCCAGGCCGGAGACCTCCCCAGCCTTGCTGTGGACCGGGAAGGTTGGCGATGCGTCGGCGTTCCGGGTCTGGGGATCTCGGGCGTTTGTCCGCGACCTGTCTGCGGACAAACTATCCCCTCGTGCTGCTCCTTGCGTCTTCCTGGGGTTCCCCCCTGACGCGCCTAGGTGGCAGTTTTACCACCCCACCTCTCGCCGTGTTCTGTCCTCCCAGGACGTCACGTTTGACGAGTCGGTCCCCTACTACCGCCTCT